TGGGGGTAGATTATAAAAAGGGAAGGTATTAACATCCTTTTCATCCATGGTTTTCCATGGGCTCTTAGTTACTTGCTAGATCACTTGTTTTTTTTGTTTTGAAATTGTACTTTGTATGGTTTTGAAAGTATTTTGTAAAAGAGGCCATTTGTTTAGGCAATCTTTGTAATGATTCTCGTTCGTAAGAATGTATACAAAGATGTTTGTATTTTTGAAAATATTTTCAATGTTTGTAAGATGTTTGGGAATGTGTGTGTTTATTTTGAAAATAGAAAGAATAGTTTTTTGAAGTGGAGCAAGTAACTAGAAGTAATCTACCTACTCAAATGTCTTTCTTGTTCATTTTCTTTTCCTTTGATACTGTTGTCTTACCATTGATTTGGTAAGTAACCCTATCTTTGGATGTAAACGGGACGGGCGCGGGTCATCGTATAACCATGATTAGCAATGTTGCAAAGTATCTTAGCATCTTTGAGGGACTAAGATCATTTTGTAAGGCAACTTTGAATAGCGTCATCGAGGGACTATGATCTTATTTTTGTTTGTTTTGCCAAGATACTTCGCATGCGTAATATGACCATTTTTATGTAAGGAAACCAAGTGGAATAACCCTAAGGGTGCTTGTGTGCAAGTGTATTATTTTCATGCTTGATTTTGTCTTAGATTAGGGTTTTCTATTTGATTTGTTTTTATCTTGCCATACAAACCCTAATTACTAGCATGTTATGTAAAAGCGATAAATTGCGTAATTTAAAGATTGCTACGCTATTACAACATTTTATGGGAGGGGGAATACAAATTATAAATGGGGATTTGCAATAATGTAAATCTAATTAAGCTATTACAACCAAATCGAAATTGTACAAGTATTTGAATAAACAATATATAATATAATTTAAAATATGCAATGTTATGTATATGCAAGAAAAAGAAATTTGCTTTGTTTTTTCATATGCAAAAGAGTTTTGACCTAATCCTAATAATTTAAGAAAAGGAAATTATTTTTTGAAAAGGTGGTTAACCCTAATTTCTAATTTAAAAGAAAATAAAGTTCTTTAAGTATTATTTTTTTGTGTATTTTTGTCTTAAAATAATAAATAATATTTATGAAAATATTTGGTCTTTTTATATGTCAAAATAAATATTTACAAGTGTGAAGGAAAAGAAATAAAAATTAACCTAAATCTATTTTATTTTACATGTTTATTTAAGAAAGGATAGTTAATATATAATTTAATAAAAAATATTTTTTCATGAGAAAATAAAATAAAGTGAACAAAAATAAATATTTAACATTTTGATATTTTTTTTATGATTTTATAATACTTAAGAAAATATATTTAATAAAAAAAGAAATAAAAATAAATAATAAAAATGTATGGGCTCATGGGTGCTGTAAGAGAAAGGAAGGTAAGCGTTAGAAGAAAAAATGAGAGGCCCAATGGAATAAAGCCCAGCGCTACAAAAAATGACAAAAAATGAAGCTGAAAAAATATGAAAAATGCAAAAGGTAGCGCCAAGGTTCGAACCCATGACCTATGCATTTCCAGCGCGCTACCTTGCCACTGGGGTGGCTGTACATCCGTTAGTTCATATGAAACTAAAAATAGATAACACAAAACGCCTCCTTGACCTGTACTTCATCTTCTTCCTCAAGCTAGCCAGAACCTCTGTATCTTTCTCATTTCTCCATGAAAATGGAAACTTCAAACATGAAAATGGTAGTACTCTTTCCCACTATTTCAACCATGTAACTCATGTAAACTAACAGTCAATGATCAAAACTAATTTCAAAGGCCCTAATTTTAAACCTAATTTTTACAGAAATTTGAACTCTAAAATTCTCTATACACAATGAATATAAATGAAATTTATGAACATGGTTGGTTTTAGCACAAGGATATCTACATTTTATCTTCACAAATCGTGACCAATAGATGCATGTATGAAGAGATAGAAGTTGGAGTTCTTACCTCTTTCAGCTGAGATCGTGAATGGAGTTTGAGTGAGTTTTATGAAGGTCTGAAGATCCCTTTAGCTTGCCTGGACCTCCCTGAGTATGTTTCAATCTTTACCTTGTCTTGAAAGTGCCTGAATCTCCCTATCCAAGTCAACCTGCAAGCTTGAAAAACAAAAATGGCAGATGGAGAAGGAGGAGTTACAGTGAAGGGATGATGGTCTGGAACACTTAGATATGAGGTAGGTTAAGTGTTTGAGTGATTAGAACTTGAAACACACGAGTAGATTTCTGGATTGCTATGCTTGGTCTCAAACTGCAAGTTTTGACAGGTTTTTGGTGATAGGGAGTTTTAGAGAGTTTCTGGCCTTGAGCAATCGTGTGTTTTGTTGTAATGTGTTTGTGTATAAGTATAAGGAAGGTTTCAAATTAATTCCTCAACATATTTTTGAGTTATAGGCCTTTTGCACTTTTACTTGCTTTTGAAGCAAAGTGAGGAGACAAATCTCTACATGCTTGTACAGGCCTGCTTGGAGTTGGTACAAGTCCTAAAAAATTTGATTTTGGTTTATAGGACTTGTGTGTGCAGAGAAAACAGGTCCAATGCTCAAGAAGTGAAAAGTTGCAAAAGTTATGCTTTTCTAAAATGGCAATGGCAACTTTGTGCCATTTATGGAATTAAAACTTGGACAAAGACTCTTATGCTTGGATTAAGGCTTTATCATATGTGTAAGCATTAAATTATGAAGTGAGAAACAAGTTTGAGACCTTTAAAGCAAGGATTAGGCAGCATAGGTTCAGATTTGAATTTTGTTCTTCATGAAATGGCTTGAAATCAAAGTGAGAAATTGCCAACTTCCTCTCTTCGATTCTCCCTACTCAAAAATGATCTCAAGGAGTTATTGGACATTTTGGAAATCTTGAAATATTCTCTATAACTCATATTTGAAATGAATTTCAATATTCCTCTTGAAACTAGGTGAAAAATTGCCATGAAGTTAGGTCAAAAACCTGCCTAAATTAGGGCAAAATTTCACTAAGTTATTTTAGTTCATGAGCATGTATTCACAAAATTATATCTTGAGATCCAAGCATCTTTAGGAAAAAAATGTGTGAGGCAAAGTTGTAGATTTCATGGAGATATACAATTTTCATGTTGGGAACTTTCTTTGAATCATCTTGCATCATGATGGAAATTTGGCTTAAAGTTGAGAAAAAAATAAGAAATTTTCTATACTTAGAAAAAATTTCTAAGTTAAGAAAATTTCAATTTTCAAACAAAATCTTCAATCTTTGATTTCTTGATGAACAAGTTTTACATTTTGACATGCTTTGATGCATTGTGATCCTTGGCATTTGATTTTGACCAAAAAGTCAAAGTTTGACTTTTCAGTATACAATTGACTTTTGATCAGTTGACTACAAATTTCATTTTTCAATCCAATGAAATTGCAATGTTTTGAACCATGTCAATAGGTCAAGATGATACGATTGAACCCTTGAAATCATGTTTCAAACCAATTGGTCATTTGCTAGGTCAAAAATCAGAAATTGCCCTTTCTCAGTCAAAACCCTAATTTTGACCATTTTGCCCTTTTGATGATTTGATTAAATTTCTTGAGGAGTTGTGGTCCAAACTTGATCAAATGATACATATGAGTCTAAAATGTTGATGTGGATAAAAAATTATGAAGTTTGACTGTAAATTGGCCATGGTTGACTTTTTCCCAATACAATTGATTTTTAGGTCAACTGTCCAATTGACTGATCAAAAATGTGATTCAAGGCTTGAAACTTGTCATGAGTAATCTTAGGGGTCCATAATGATACTTGAAAGCCATATGAAACATTTATAGTCCAAAAATCCTTGTACAATCTCAAACCCTAATTTTGGTCATCAGTGCATGAGGAGGTGTCTTGAGCTGATCAAACCCTAATGCATACTTGAGTTTAAGAGATCTTGTGGGGAAATCTTTGATAAGTGAGAGGGAAAATTTTGGGGTACAACACATGTCAACAAAGGTCTACAAGAAATCCGGTATAGTTAATGTTATCTATCAGAAAGGGATAAGGAATAAAAGGAAAATTTTTTGATTCCTAAACTAAGGGAAAGTTTAGAATTTTTCTGGGTAGTTTCACTCACCGTTGTCCAACAAACTCTCCTGATCATATTAATACTAACTAGAAGTATCTTCTGCATGCTATTCAAACCTCTGAGAGAATTAACCTTCCAGCAATTCTCTTCAATCATATGAAAACCATTATTATTGAATCAAGGGATGGAGGATCCAAAAAGAAGACGAATATTCCTTTTGGAAGACTTATTTCACACATTCTTATTGAAAGTCATCTTTTTGACTCTTTGAACACTCAAGATTCAAATTTTATCACCGGAGCCTCCATAAATGGAATTACCCTAAGATATCTTGGTCTGAAAAAGGGAGAAGAAATACAGGATCCTAAGGAATCAAGTACATCAGATTTAAAGGAGAGACGCATTTCGGTGATAGGATTTCCAAACTTTCTGCTTGATCGATCATCTGTGATCAATGATAAGCCCCACATTGCTCCCACTCCAAAGAGAAAAAGGAAATTGGCTGAAGAACCCAAGGCTAAATAAGTCTTTATAGCTCCCAAGGAAACAAAGGTAACCAGAAGACGTGTCCTGATGCTTGAGAACCCAGATATCTCTGAACCATCTAAGGTTTCTAGGATTTAAAAATAATATATTGCTCCCTCTAGAGTTAGACCTTATAAAATAGAGTTAAATGAACATTCAGTTACCTCCAACCAAGATGATTCAAAAACCACAGACGCCATTGCCTCTATTCCTACAGAGCCTCAATTAAATCAAACATGTTTTGAACATCCATCTCCACACTCCTCCTTCATTTCTCCCGATGGAATTAATATTAACTCTACTGCATCCAACCATTTATCCCAGTATGCATAAGGTCTTGCTGAACATCAAGATGTTCCCCTATCTAAAGAAGAAATTCTAAAGATTATTATTGTACCTGACAGGGATCCTTGTCCATACGCCATGAAACCCTTGGTATACTTTGCCAAAACTGACTTTCAACATATTCCTCTGAATAAACTAATATACCATTTTGGAGTGCATGTCAAAAATGCTTTAGAACTAGTAGAAAGAAGAACTCTAACTAGCATAAATCCAGAGGAAGTTAAAGTGACTTGGAAGTCATTCAGATATTGGCTGGAAACCAACTCCAGAATCATGGAATCATATGGCCTTATTGAAGCTGCCAAGAAGAACAAAACTTGGGAAGAAGCTACCACAAAGGTTCTCCTCTTACCTGCTCCAAAACCAGAAGTTGTGCTTGCCTTAAAAGTTATCCCTTCATCTAGTACTTCTGATAATGCGTTAGCAATGGTAAACTTTCAACCCTCTTGCTCTGAAGTGAAGCCTGTTATCAACGTTGAAAAGGAAATCAATGGGCTGAAGGAAACTTTGGAAAAAGTCCAAGAGACCAATCAACATATCCAAGAACGTCTGGACAAAAATGAAGAAAACTGAGCTGCTCAAGCAACTTCCTTCAATCAAATGACTGAGATGTTGAAGCTGTTTATGGAGAAGTTTAGCAAGGAGTCTTTGGATTAGACCTTTGTCTTAGAACTTACGATTTATTTTATTCTGTGTCTAAAATAATTGTATCTTTTAAACCCTTAATGAAGTTCTTAACTGATTGTTGGCTATCTTCAAAGTTTACTTTTATGTCTCTTCATTACCTTTTTTATTTTTGGCAAAGGGGGAGAAAGTAAAATGATTTTGATAATATTTATTCTCAGAATCTTAAACTCAAACATATATAATGTTGTTGCTACTAACTGTTTGTTTGATGTTTCATTCCAGGAACTTTAAATAAGTTCATTGAGTATTCTAAGACAGGTTGAATATGAAGATCATGATGCTAAGGTTGAGAACCTTATGGATGAAATCAACTCTGATTTCATATATAAGAAGTTGTACACTTTGTGAATATATGTATATTCAAACATATGTACCAAACGTTATTCAGAAGTTATAAACTTACTCAAAGTAAGGTAATCTTGCTTGATGTCATATTGTTCAAAAGTATTGAACTTTCTGAAAGTATGGAATTCAAACTTAAAGCTTCAGAAGTTGTGCTCTCCTAAAAGGAAGTCAAGTCAACATTCTGATGCACGCTCTGATACTAAGATGCCACTCAAAAGATGTGCTCTGATACGTGTGCTTCTGCAACGTATGCTCTATTCAAAAGTTGAGAACTGTCTGAATAAATGATATATTGGAATATATCAAATCAAATATTGATGCTTAAGAAGTAGTGAACTTCTTCAAAAGTATAGTGTTTTGGTTGTGATATTAGAATCAAGAAATAGAAGTGTTGATACATGATGCGTGGTATTATTCAATCAGGCTCAAAATCAAGTTTTGATTCTTCATCAAGTTCTGATAGTAACCAGGTTCTGAGATGAAGACCAGTTATTCTAATCAGACTCTGATGAGTTGTTGTAGGTAAGTGTTCCTTCTCTATTTCTATGTTCTGAAAACTCAAAATTTATTTAGTGAGTCTTGGGCTCAGGGGGAGACTTTGAACAAGCATAAATGAAATTTTGGGATTAACAGATTCAGGGGGAGTTGTGAGCTTAACTCTGAATTTGTCAATTACGGTGATTACCATGTATAAATTGTTCTATCAAAATACATGATTTTGTCATCATTAAAAAGGGGGGAGATTGTAAGAACAAGAAGTGTTTCTACACCTGGCCTTAAGATTTTGATGATAAATTTACATGATATCATTAAGAACAATTGTATACTCTAATGGTTTCGTTCTAGTGTGTAGTTGCTGCTGTAATATTCTAGATCTGGTATCAAGGCATGTGACGTCACCAGGTTTTGAACATAAACACTACTGGATGAATATATGTGGTTACGTGTTACAATTGAAGTCAAGATTATGGAATTCATTTTATGCAACGGATCTTAGGAACGTTAGTACAAGAAGTTCTAATCGTGACTTTTTGGTTAAACATTGGATGCCTTCTAAAGCTTTGCTTATGTGTGTTGCAAGTTCTTAAGATTATAAAGACGGGGTTCTGCTGAACAAGTTATGATGATCTAAAGAAAAGCAAGTTCTTACAACCAAGTGCTGAAGACTCTGAAGATGAGGTTTTGATGTGACAAGTTTTGAAGACTCCAAGACTTAGGTTCTAAAACTTAAGAGTGATTCTTCTACAACAATTCAAACATTCAAATTATCTGAAACCTCTAAAGACATGAAAAAGTTCTAAATGGTTAATGTGTGATGGGGTACAAAAGGTATAAAAAGTGCTTTGTGACCTCTACCCTCTAGGGTGGAGTAAGGACAATCTTTTCATACTATACTGTGACCACTCTCATTATGACCGTTGAGAACAAACAACTTTATTTTCTGATTACCTTTCTACCCTTTCAACGGATCTCTTTTACGAATCATAAAAGAAAGACTTGGAAGCTGAAGAAAAGAAGAAGAATCAACATTACACAAATCTATCGGATTAAATCAAGCTCAAACAAAACTACACCAAAGCATTGTGCAAACTTTTTAGAGAAATCTTATGTGTTTAGTTTTGTACATAAGCAAGGAGTTGTTGCTCGTATCTTGCTGTAAAACACTTAGGTGTTTTTCTTTATAGTGAAACGTATGTGTAATCTTCTTAGAAGAAGCAGACTGTAATACACTGAAAGTATTCAACCGATGTTGATTCCTTGAGAGACCAAGTGAAGGTCAGATCTCAAGAAGACTCTTGATGCGGTTTGAGTAGATTTGTAATAAGAATCGACTGACTTATTAGGGGTGCCAATAAGGTTGATCAGACTTTTGTGGATTGTCTGTAATCGGTTTGATTATAGTAGATTAAGTTATTGTTGAAGGAAAATCACCTTGCGGGGTGGACTGGAGTAGCTTAGTTAACAATGAACCAGGATAAAATAATTGTGTTTATTTATTTTTTATGTTATAAGTTAACTTGGTCTTTCATCAACGGAAAATATTTAATATTTATTTTGATGAAACCCAATTCAAACCCCTTTTCTTGTGTTTCTCACACCTTAACCATGCATGAAGAATAAGCTAGCAGTTGTCACTGATCTGATGAATAAGTGGGTTTAACACAAGGGTAAAAAGGAATGGCCCTAACAAATCACCTTGTTGCACTCCAATGGCTGACATCATATGCCCATCCCTGAGGTATAACCTTGTTTCCTAACTATAGAGAAACTCAACCCCACAAGGAAATAGATGGGCATCTCACCCTCACCTCTCACAAAATGTTTGATCGATCTACTAGATTAAAAGCATTCGTGAAATATACTGTGAACATAGTCAAAGATCCATCTCCATGCCGCTTTCTCAATTCCTTGTTGGCACTATGCAAAATGTCCTCAACATCGCCTGATACCCCGACCCCAAATTGGAAGTCATTGAGATATCTTGCAACATCCTTACCGACCCCTTTCATCGCAACCTTGGATACCAACCACCTCCAAATAGAACCCATAATAATTGGTCGTATCTCACCATCATACTTCAATAACAATGTCAAGTGTTGAGGCAACAAAATCTGCCAAACTCATCGGGCATCTCCCTCCCAACCATAAGTTAACAACTTGAGCGATTGCACATAAGAGATCTCTAGACACAGCAGAACGTTTTCCACACATCGCATCCAATAAATGTTGAGCTCATAAACGATCTCTACCACATAAAGTCCCTTTGGGGAATGACTTAATGCACCTGAAAATTGTATCAACTTTAACCACTGAAGGAGCTTTAGAGAACAATATGGTCGGTATGGAGGGAGGTAGCTTGTATGGGTGTTTAGCCTCCAAAGCCTTCATAGTATGTGCATTATAGGGGGTTGCACCAGATGAACCCAACACTTTGACAATTATTATGAAATGACCATCTACAACCTTACAAACACATTGCTTGACGTTAGAGTTCACATTTGCATCTCCCTCGTCAATATGAACTCTCTCATGACCCAACTTCTCCTTCTTAGAGCTACCCAACACACTATCAACTAACTTGATTTGCGTCCCTCCAAGTGTTAAGCCCTCCAAAATGTGATGTTGTTGCAAGGCTTTCTGATTTCCAGATCTATGATCCTGCCTATTTGAGGCTTGACCACATGTAAAATGCAACGATGAAGAAGTAACAATCGAACCCAAGCTCCTACAGATCCCGACTCAACAATCACTTTGAGGAGTCTATCTTTCAATACTTAAGAGAAAGCAAGATATTTGAGAGGTATGCTCTTAACAGTGAAGATAGATGTTGTGAAGACTCGCTCTAACAACCTTGCGTCCAAAACAATCCCCTCATTTGCACCAAGGTTATGGAAGTCTATCGCAGATGGTTTTACAATACTTACATTGTGACTTTCGACCTCCTCTGTCCCAAGAGTAACTAGAACTAGACCATCAGGATGATGACAATAGTGCTCATACAACTTCCACATATCAATTGCCTAACTCCCCTTAAAGTCTCCTTAAATGTTGTAAGCACATTCAAATCATTCTCAATAGCTTCTCAAATTGTGTTTTTGTATTCGTCACTAGATAAGTGTAATGACTTAAGATGAGACACCGTACAAAAAATACCCTTACTGTCATCCTTGCCATCAAGACAACGATGAAATTCTCGAAATGGACAATGCAAATCTACTATCTGAGTGGAACCCATAAGACAATGCAAAACCGTGCTTATCCATGCAAAATAATGCAATGGTTTTTTGACATTTATAATTGCTAACTTCTGTTTGAAACTTTGACTATAATGACATAGTTTGACTCTTTTCCTCTAACCTTAATAGGCTAGCCTGGTTTTTGTGAACTTTAAATTATGCACATTGTCACGAGGGCTTTTACATGAAGTGTTGCACTCATAGTGAGGACTGGAGTTATTATTATTTATTTTTTAAGTTTATGGAGAAGATGGATATCCCCTAAAATGGTCATTGTTTGGCTGTGAATAGAAGTTAACTAATAGAAAAGTCTTAAAGAAGTTAATTGAAATAACATTTCATCAAATTTTACTTATCTCCCATCTTAATTTCGATATTACAAGAGCATATTTCACCTAAAATGAGAATGTTAAGACAAAAAAAAAGCATATCTACTTTTATTTTCAATACAACAGTCCTTTTGTTTGTAAATATCTTGGTTAAATAAGATTCTAGGAGGCAGAGACAAGATTTTAAAATCCTGCTATGCAATTATGCACATATGAAATCTAAGAATAAGCAGGTGAAAACATAAATTAAATGCGCATAATTTTGAAAGAAAATTAACATCACATTATCATCTAAGCATCTGAACTCACAGTATAGGAGTGTTTAGTGTTCAGTTCAATCAGCAAATAAAAACCAAGGTTGGGAACTAAAATGACGAAAAACTAGGCCCCATCTGCCTCAATAAAGGGGTTTGCAATCTCATCTGTACCATCAGTTGGGGACACCAGCATCACAGCAGTTCCCCTGCAAATCTGCATTGGGACAAAAGCATTTCAGTTCCAAGAAACAAATTTCAGCATTTAATGCTCAAGAAATTTATGTTTCAGAACAGATTAGATAGGAAAAAAAGCATACAATTAAGCCAAGACTTCTTGTCTGGTCTGTAGTTTTCAGAGGATCATCAGCATCTGCAGCATAAAAATAAAAGACATGGAGTTTAGTTACAAATTCAAGTGGGAGATATTACAAAAGAATAAGTACAGACTTTACAAATTTGCATGACAACTCTGATATGAGTGCAAAAGGGTGCTTATAGAAAGGGGAGGAGGTGTACATCGAAACGTACGAGCTCAATCCAATTGACATGAAAGGCTTAACAAGCATGCAAACTATTTGTTGATTTACACTGGCAACTATAAATTATTTCCGAAATCAAGTTATACAGAAAGGTGCATCATGCCTCCTACAAACAATATCAACTTTGGGAAAAAGAGCGTTACAACAGCTTTTAAGCAGAAATTATTTTCAGTCTTGTCGATGCGGATGGCGGTCCATTGCAGATAGCCAAAATCCCGCCATACCAGCCATTTTGCCACGCCGTTATAGCAGATTATGGCGGAAAAACCTGCAATATCGACTGATATTTACCATTGTGGCGAGCCCAAAAACCGTCGTGTATATCTGCCATGGTGGATATTTGATAACACTGATTTTTCAAGCTTTTGAGAAAAACTAAACCTGTTTTTCCTTCTATTCTTTGGAAAATGTGTCTAATTATGATATAATTTCTTAAAACATTTTTTAAAATTGAAAGTCCTATTTTTTCTTTTAAAAGGAACCATCTGGCTTGAATTAGATGATTTTTTTCTTAATTCCCCCCCTAACCTTGAATCCCAGAAACCATCTTATTTCAATGTGTTAGCAAGGTTGTCAAAGTCACGATTTAAATCTTAAAATCTTAAGGTTTTGCAATCCCACTCACCCCCAACAATTCCGATTTTAAGTAGAATCGTGCGTGGTATCCAAATTGTAAAAAAGAAAAAACGTAAAACCATTGATTAAGTGTGTTTTTGCCAGTTACAGTCATGATTGACCGTTTTCAGATCACCATCATTACAAGCCGAGAAGGATGACAAGATACCGAGACGCAACAATAACGGTTCCGCGGATGCCATTTTCCCACGAATACACTTGCCTACCAAAATATCATGGAATAAAAACTTCAAAAAGTATATAGTATTATTTTTCGTTTTAGTAATATCTTACGGTTTTTGTTACAATCTTATGCTTTACGATCTTGCTACCCCGTCCCGATTTAAAAAAAACTAATTGGGCACGATCTTTTGGTCTTAGTTACGATCTTATGTTTTACGATCTTACTATCTCCTCCCGATCTTACGCAAGATCCCGACTTTGAGAACCTTGGTGTTAAAGAAGATAAGGTCACGGGCACGAGCAACCCAGAATTCAAAAAGATCAAATATATACAATTTACTTATTAAGTTACTAAATGTAAAACAAGATGGTGCTAGTATGTAGTATTTACCTCTCAGAAACTCAACAGCTTCATCAAGAACAAGGTTAAGTAACTGGTCGTATCCTTTCAGAGTACCTGTCACTGAAATTCAACAAATAGTGATATGTTAGACCCTTCATCAAAGTTGTATTTCAAAATCGTTGAACAAAAGAGTACAAATAAATAAAAAAATCAGCAAAGTCAATTTTTCAACAAACTAATGAAATCAGAAATTTATTTCAAAAGAGACCAAGTAGGTTTACCTTGTCTACCACCAGTAAGCTTAACTTGAACTCCTTTATCAACAAACTTTGCCAAGTCCAGAACTGTTTCCTTCCTTCCAGACTGATACAAAAAACAAATTAGGTCTTTTTCTTGTTCACATTTTTGTGGTGTGTGTGTGTGTGTGAAGTAAGATGCATATATCGAAAGATGATTGATTCGAATTTGAAACAAACTCACCATGGTTGATGCGTCTTACGAGTGTCACTCAAACTCCTCAGCTGCTTCTTGAAAGAGAGAGAGGGGCGCTTCTGGGTACACGAGGGTTTCAATAATTATATTCACGTTATTATTATGACATTAAATTAAATTAAATTCAATATAATTAATTCATTTGATTGTAATTTGGATTTTTTTAATAAATATTTAGATTTTCAGTATTCTTATTCTCTTTTTTTTTTTTGTAAATATAATTATTTAAAACTTGTACACATGATTCACAATTTAAATAGCGGAGTTTGAATTCTGGCGTTCAACAATTTTTTCCTTTAGTTTGGGACATAACATTAACTAATTACAAGTTCAAAGATTAATGTATAAGACTTTTGAATGGAAATGATTCTTTAGTAATATAATTGGAAAAGAATAGTGAAAGAGATTGAGTGAAAAAGTAAATAAAACAAGACAGATAGAGGAAGACAACAAAAATGAATAATTATACTTGATGTAAGCTATTAGATGTTTGGTGACTTTAATTTAGAGAAATCACAATGTGTTTAACTCAATCTCTGTTGTTAGATCAATCAAACATATCTCATGTTAAGGCTTGTGTATTTTCTTTTTTAATTTAAACAATTAACTAAAAATGTATTTCGAAGAAATAATAACTCATCAAAGATCCACCATCTCTTCGTCGCAATGGTTCATATCATCACCACCCATACCACTGTAGTGCAAGTCATCTCACTCAAATTGGCGTCACTCCTCCACCTGACTTCTGGGTTATGTATTTTTCCTTTCATCATCTTCATTGTTGTTAGGAGTTATTATATTTCTTTGTGGTTGTGAAGAGGAACGACACAGAGATCACGAACACGATGGCGGCTGATACGGGATTGAGATGGAGAGATCGATAACGACAATGAGACAAGAAGGTATAGCGAGCATGATGGTCAGAGGAAACAATATTGAGTGAAACACATATATTTTAATTAATTGGTGTTCTGTTCGGAAACCAGAAACAGATGATCCAACTACACGAAGGAACCAGAAATGAAAAGAGTTGGATAAATATTGATCTTGAACAGTGGCTTCGATCTCCTTTACAGTAGCACAAGATGGACCTGCATGGTTAACACTCTAACACCCAAGTTAGATCAAGATTCAAGATGAATATATTGAAATTGGAGATCATAAATTGTGTACCTTCTCATAGCATGTGAACTGTTTATATATACTGGGTCAAGGAGAGTGGACTTGAGATGGATTGAGCCTTGGTAAATTTGGGTGATTGGTCGATCCAAATAGTTTCCTTAAGGCTTTGTTGGACACTGAAGGAGCCAGGGGAAGTTTTAAGTATCATTGATCGGCCTACATGTCGTAGTCCGATGTGAGATAGAACTGAAACGCTTGGGATCAGTTTTCTAATTAATCAATAGGGAATAGGTGCATTTAATGTATTCTTATCGATGAAACGCTTTGTTACCCATTCATGACACGTACAGTGACATGTCCAGCTAGGGTACGTGTTGTACCCCAAAATTTTCCCTCTCATTTCTCAAGAAATTTCTCACAAAGATTTTCAATTGCTCAAAATTGCACAAGGACTAATCAGCTCAAGACACTTCCTCAACATTGATTACTCAAATTAGGGTTTGAGTTTGCACAAGGATAAATAGACTTTTAATGCCTCCTATAACTTTCATGGATCATTTTTTACATTCAAGAATGCTCATGTCAAATTTCAAGTCTTGCAGTTCAAGTTTTCTCAATCAATTGATCAGATGACCTAAAATCAACTGTATTGGATAAAAAGTCAATTGTGGCCAACTTACAGTCAAACTTCATGATTTTTGATCCATATCAATATTTTTAACTCATCTGAACCATTTGGTCAGATTTGGACTGCAATTCCTCAAGAAATTTGATCAGATCACCAAAGGGACAAAATGGTCAAAATTAGGGTTTTGGCTATGAAGGCTTGATTTTTGACTTTTGACCAAATACATGACTTATTGGCTTGATAAATGATATCAAGGATTCAAATTCATCATATTCACCTAATTTCATGGTTTAAAACTTTTCTCAAGATCAATTGATTGATAATTGAAATTTGGTCAATTGATGGAAAAGTCAACTGTACACTAAAAAGTCAAACTTTGACTTTTTGATCAAAATCAAGTTTCAAAGATCACATTTCATCAAGACATGTCAAAATATGAAGCTTGATCATAAAGAAATCAAGAAAGTCATATTTCAACTTAAAAAGTCAAAGTTTTCAACACTTAGAATTTTTCATGATTTCATGATTTCAATAAACCTTATCTTTTTCATGATTTCATGCCAAGTTTTCACCATGATGCAAGATGATTCGAGAAAAACTTCCAACATGAAATTTGTATATCTCAATGATATCTAAAACATTGTATGGCAGAACTTTTTCTAGAAATGCTTGGATTTTAAGTTATAAATTCATGAAGACATGTACATGAAACAAAAACACTTAGTGAAATTTTGACCTAGTTTAGGCAGATTTTTGACCTAAATTCTTGGCCAAGTTTCACATGGTTCCAATTTGATTCTTCAAAAATGTTCAACATGAAGGTTGTAGAGGATGTTACAAGCTTTCTAAAAAGTCCAAAAACTCATTGAGATCATGTTTGAGCTAAGAGATCGAAGCCATAAAGTTAGGGTTTCATTCTTGTTTTGCAAGGAAGATTTTGTGATGAACATGAACCAAATCCATATCCATGTTGCACAATCTCCACTTTTCAGGCCTCAAACTTGTGTTTCACTCCATAAATAATAGTTTACACAATTGATTAGACCCTTATCCAAGTGCTTGAAGCTTTTTCTAAACCAACTTTCCATTAATGGCACAAAGTTACCACTTCCATTTTAGAAAAACAAGCTTTATGCAAAGTCAACTTGCATTGAGCCTTGCACTTATTCTTTATGCACACACAACATCTATAAGTCAGAACAAGTTTTGTTTAAAGTCCTAACCACTCTAATATAGCATGGTACAAGAATGGGGAAGATGTTTGTCAACTTTACTTCAAAAACAAGCAAGAGTTCCATAACCCATGGATTCAAATTATGTCTTGTTGTAGCACTCAAAACCTCTTGCCTATAAATACATGCACTATTTACAACCTAACACACAAGATACAAGCCCTCGAAACTCCCTCAGACTTCCTAAAACACATAATAACCAAGAATACCTCAAAACTTGTCATTTCTGAGTTTTGAATCCAATCTTCAAATCTACTCGTGCGTTTCTTGGCCTTTTGCTTTCAAAAGCTTCTAAACATCATACGTAAACAATTCCAACACCTGTTACCCAACTGTAACACCATCTTCATCAACCTCCATTTTCAAAAATAAATCTTTTCACTTGGACTTCTCCAGCACGATTCAACCATCCTCATCTCAAGGCAACCATTGCATTAGCTTCCTAAATGTTCAAGGAAGCTAACCTGATCATCACCATCACTTGAAACAAGCTCGAACTCATTTCACGATTTTCAATTTTTGAGGTATTTTTCTGAACTTTCATCTCCTCATTTAGGCATTGTTAGGCTTACATTTTCAAAGACAAAATGTAGACAATATTGCCCTGAAACTAACCATGTTCATAGTTTTCATTTATATTGCCTGAGCTTAGAGAATTTTGAGATTAAAATTTCTAGAAAAATTAGGGTTCAGATTAAGGCCAGCAAAATTCTCATTCATATCTGACTTATAGTTTTAGTGGGTTATCTTTCTAGAATCGTGACGAAATTTGTCATGACTTTCATGTTTACATTTTCTATTTTGGTTGAGAAATGAGCAAGTTACAGTTGATCTGGCTGGCGTGAGGTTGAAGATGAAGTTCAAGCCATGGAAGCATTTTGTAATATATATTTATGATTCTGTATAAGACACCGAATGTATGGCCACCCCAGTGGTAAGGCATCACGCGTATATTGTTGAGGGCGTGGGTTCAAGCCCCAGCGCTGCCATTTTGTTTATTTCCTTAACATTTCTTTCTTTTTTTGTTTGGACTACTGCATGTTTGGGCTTCTTGTGCTGGGCTTTGTCACTTTTTATTTTTCTAACCCCCATATTCACTAATAACCACGCAGGCCTATTGTTTTTTTATTTTATTTCTTTTGCTGACTAATAAAAACCCTTAATGGGCCAGACCTAGTATAAAAAACTATTTTTTGCTACAAAACACTCCAAATTCAAATTTCACCCCCTGACTTTATTTTTATATAATTCTATTTTTATTTTCCTTTTCTCTATTTTATTATTATTGTTATTATTTTTACTAATTAAAAATATGGCAAAATACTCATTTTGGTCCCTTAACTATACCCTTGGGTTCACATTGGTCCCTTAACTTTTTTTTTGTCATTTTGGTCCCTTAACTTTCAAAATGTTTCATTTTAGTCCTTTTTGTCTAATTAGCTACGGATTTAGCGGCTGATTTCAAAGTTTTTCCGTCTAATTAGCTACGAATTTAGACAAAAAGGACTAAAATGAAACTTTTTGAAAGTTAAGGGACCAAAATGACACAAAAAAAAGTTAAGGGACCAATATGAACCCAAGGGTATAGTTAAGGGACCAAAATGAGTATTTTGCCTAAAAATATCAAAAAATATTTTCATTTATTTATTTATTTAGGTATTTAGCAATTCTCATCTTATTTCTTTTAGACTAAAAAAGGGACCAAAACATTTTCTTATTAAATTAATTTCCTTTTAATTAAATAAATAATTAGATTTAGGTTTATTCATATTATTTATTTATAACTTAGGTTTCTTTTAATTAATTAACTTCATGTATATTATTTCTAATGTAATTAAAACCATTCTTTAACAAAATCCAAAAACAAAATTATTTTTTCTCTTCCATTTACTTTCTTGTATATTTATTCATTTTCTTGTACATTCTTATCTATTCAGTATGGTTGTAATAGATAATTAGGACTTTTATTGTTTTCCATCCCCCGTTTGTAAATTTGTATCCCTCATCCC